GTAGTGTGCATCTGGGTGCATGCAACGTACAAACATTGATATGAAGACAAATTTTTTTGGTGATGTTTGAAAAATTTGCAATGATTAAACAGTAAGAAACTAAACTAAACAGGGCCAAAAAGTGAATAGGTGCCATTGAAAAAAAGTGATTTTTTGACATTTAATTTATAATATTATCTATATATACTAAGGCGTTCTCCATTCTTTTTAGGTTTGTTCTCCATTTAAGGATCTTTCAAATAGGTTCTTTACTTTTGTGTCAGTTTGGATGGTCCGCATGGTATAAATTCGGGATATTTTGCGCCAAATCCAGGGGATTTTCTTATTTTTGTTGATTTTATCGCCTCCTGCACTTGTGCTATTTCGAGATGAATACGGTCTGCATTGAGAGGTTCTTAATATTCTCTCATGTATCGCGGTCGCAATTCCGTAGGTGTTTAAAATGTTGTGTCCATTGTGAGTTTGCTGTACCATTCTGACTATTTGTTGCTTGTTCTCATTGATTTTGTGGTTTTTCAAGCCTCTGAACTTCATGTGCTTCCTATCTGCTGGTCTATGGAGTCGCATTTAATCCAATATTGGTYCTTCTTCTTTCGTACTTCTGCCTTTGCCTTTCTGTTTGCTTGCTTACATTCTTYYCTTGTTTGTGCAYYTTTCTTYTGTCAGAATTTTTCGTAAATTTGTTTTTTCTCCTTAATTTGTTAAACGTTGGCCCAAGTACMGCAGTGTTTTGTTTTTTGCCGCTATCTGTTTACCGATAAACCTAAGGACTTAGACAAGCATGTTTTAATAATTATCATCATTATGTCAGTTTAAAWTTGTAGTTGAAAATAATACGAAATTTAAAATAACCTCATGCAAAAAGTATATGRCAGGTAGATCAAGTGATTTCCCTGGTCATCTTATCCATAGAGAATGTAATTTTGTGTGTGTAAGTGCACAATGAGGCAGATCACCAAAATTTACATTCTTAAACAATGCATATCCGTCTCTATCTAGGCAACTTTGAAATCTCAATGATTACATAATGATCTGATTTTCAAAGCACCAAATAATATTTCAGAAATAAGTTTGTACAGGAATAATTCTATCTCACTGGCAAAATTACCATTCAACCTGCAAATATCAATAGTTCAGAATAATTGAATGATTATTGCCGAGCTCTTTCAATTTGAGAAAGAAACTAATTGATTTGAAAAAATATATTTCAATATTTAAATTCAAATACATAAACACATGACAGATTATATAAAAAGTAAAAAAATAGATATAACAATAAGCAATAACCTTCAATATTTTAACTAACGTATGTATATATATACACTGACATAATCATAACACAGATCTGTAAAACTACGACTATCAACTTGTGTCAACCTAACATTATTAACTACTTAATAGTCTCGTGGATCGTAACATTACTAACTAGGAATATATTTGTCACCGTTTCAATATCGCTTAATAATATTCGCTCTCTATACAATACAAAAATAAAAAATACATTGGAGAATTCGATCTCCAGCTAGATGAAGAATTGACTGACGTATTAACAGATGCACAGTTAAATTGTCTACATTGTTACAATATACGTTCAATTACATAGTTCAGCACATTTTCTGCACCTACTGGTACCCAGTAGCAAACTGTTTGAAGTCTAAAATATGTTACATTGGCAAAAGTATCTTAAAGTTATAAAAGATGTAAACTATTTATAGTCTATGACAGGTGGTATACGTTGTAAAAGTACAAATCTATTTATATCCGTTGGTTCCGCCACTTGGAGCCCCATATTCGGACGAAGGTGGTGATGCAGCAGGATATCCACCATTTTGCGGTTGTCCACTGTCTGGGTATGGACCGCCACCATTCTCTTTCTTCTACATCAGTTAAACACAATTTAAATATAGTATAATATAATACTACAAAAAAAACTGCTTACCGTTTTGTATCTGATAAAGTAAACTTCGGGTTTACTTGGTTGAGTTGGGGCTGGTGTCGGAATGGTAATTTCTGGTGCTTCCTCTGGTTTCTTCACAAGCACATAAACCAAAGTCTTCTCTTCGTTTTGTGGTTGTACCGGAATAACAGGAGCTGTTGGAGTTGGTGGAGTTGGTGCCTAAGAGCGAAATCATGGCTGTTATAGATCAACGTCGTACAACTTTTTAACAACACTATTATAGCGATGTTAGGTGTTTATTATATAGCTGCTTCCATAAGCTACCTTTATATTTTACACAGAAATTTTCTTTTTGAGTCTTTTTATGAAATATAGTGATTAATTAATCAATCAATGTAGACTTTTATATCAAGCAACTGAAATATGAACACAGCTGCCAATTTTCAGTCACTGTAAGTAAAGTTAGACTAACTGCTAACCGCATAAATATTTACGTTTTGCATACGATTCCTTAATTCAGCTATTTCGAACTAATACACACAAAAATTTAAAAAAGATACAATAGCAACCGTTGCTAATTAAAACATGCCCAGATTTATTGAAAAGTTGTGACACAAATTTTAGATGGCTGATGCGGGTAAATAGCTTTAAATTTTTTTAATATTTTGCTTCAAAATTTATTGTTTTTCAAAAGTGGGGAAATATGTTTATTGAAAACTCCTTCAACAACATTTAAAATCAACAACTAGCAATCAAATAAATCATATTACACATGTTTTTCGTACAGAAGTCACGTCCAACATCTAATTTGATAATGTTGATTTATTCGGATGTTTTTCATTTTGCGTTTGCCTTATGGGTCTTGGTCAGCTATCTCTTGTCTGTGTTTTGTGCAGCTTTCATTATACTAGTGATTAATCTTTTCTCTGTTGACTCTACATCATCATCTTTCGGCATTTCATTTTTGTTGATTGCTTTTATTTATTTTGGCTGTTAAATTTATTTGTGAAGTTATTGTTTTTAGTATTTTCTTATATTCTCTGTTTGTTTTTTATTTTTCTTTGAAGGCAGTTTGGCAAAACTCCTTGCTCCATGTAATTATGGCACTCTGTATTTGCTGATCTTGAATTTGTTACAATTATCTAAGTAGCTCCACATTACTCTCCATTAAACCTATTTTTAAATCCGCTTAAATGTTTATTAGAAATTAAGGAGTTCCTCGTAAAGTACGTCAGCCTCTTGCCTTAAGAATGGATGGAGTCGGTTTCTCGTAGTGGGAGCATATACGTTAGTCACAAGGGTTTTAGCTATTTTTGTAAATTTGAATGTATTTTGTAGCAATCCGGAACTGAGCACATTATGTATATTGTTTTTCTGTCATATTACTAGTTTACAATTTTGTGTTCCCACTATACATATATCATTATGTACTCCCTAGGTCTATAAAACTTCTAGTGTCTTTTCTATTCTTCTTTCTGTCTTCATTCGGATTCCTTTTCGTCTCGGATAGCTCTATTTTGTGGTTTTCAAGCTCAATTTACGTTTTTCTTTATAAATTCACTAGAAGTTTATCTTAAAACTTCTAAGACAAGTATAGAATCTGCTAATTAGTACCTAATTGGTTAGTGCCAGTAACTCAGAAACCACAATCCTTTGAAGATGCAAAGTATTAAAAATGCATTAATTAATCAATACAATTATGATAATAAATCTTATTGGGTCGCAAAAACGAAGGTTTGATTACCAGCATTTAGTAAAACGCAACAAAACTATTAACAAGATTTACCTTGATGAAGATGATCTTGTAGTGCTTCTGAGCAGGGGCAACAGCAATAGGTTTTCTGGGTTTCGGGAGATCTTTCTCTGGTGGAGGTACATGGACATATACGTGTTTCTGAACTACTGGGCTCTGAGCTGGAGGACCATATTTCGATGGAGGTGGGCCTGCAGGAGGTCCTGAAGGAGGTCCGTAACTGTCGCCAGGGGCACTCGGTCCACTTGGAGCTGCAGGATAAGAGTATCCTTGCGGCTTAGCATAAACCACCATCAAAAGAGTGGCACTGACCTTAAAATAGCAACATTTTTAAATTCTTTGCTAGTGTTTCATTTCTAAATAATTTTATACTTGAGTCAATGGTGGAAAAACGATATTAAATTAATTGCAAAATACTGCAATAACTTGTGTCTCACATTTGATAATATATGTTTGAACTGTAGTAAAGGGGTTTATGAAGGATTCCTAAATTACATGTTTGCTAAACTGCTCAACAAATAGGCGTAACACGGACAAATTTCGACAATTTTCGAACTGGATTAATTCTGTTGAACAACTGATTTTTGATGAAACAATGCAAAATTGTTGAAAGTTCCAAATACTCTCAGTTGGACAAAGAGACGTTTGGTTGATCTGTTGGGAGCCGCTTGGTTGATCTTTATACTTTTGCCGTTGACATTCAAATAAACCCTTTTTTGTCCAACTAGGAGCATGCCAAACTTTGCAAAATTTTGCATTTTTTCATTTGCAGCCCTATAGAAAATATATATGACGTGCTTAATTTTTACAAAAACATTAACGAACAAAAGGCAAATGGTGACTAGTTTTCAATTCTAAGCCAATCGCTTAAAACAATTAGAATTTATACACGTCCAAAGTGTGGAGCCAATTTGATTGTGTAACGTTCATTTTGTTGTAGAGGTCCAAATTTTTTTACAACTTGTGGAGGTCTAAATTTCCATACTGAGCTTCCGTTGTTTAATTTCAAATCTTTGCCTTACTGCATTGCGTAATTGTCATTTTTATTCTCGTTTTTTTTATTCGTTTTTCAATTGTCATTTTTTGTTTCTTCTTAGGTTCGTGAAAAACTAGTATGACGTAATATTAATTTGTCAATTGATAATTTAAGTATTTTTTTATTTTTTTCTAAGGCACGTATTTAGTTCATCTTTATCCTGATTATATCTGGCCTCACTTTTGAAGACAGCAACCATTTTGTAAGGTTGGGCGCTTTAAATAGAACGTTTATATAAAATTGCAAAGCATCAAATCGTTATAAATAGGTTTAATAAATAGTAGCTACTGTAATAACACGCATGCTTAAAAGTGCCCAAAATTTTTCTGCAAATCTTTTTGATTTGAATGCCACAAGTTCAAAAATAAATTCAAATTCTCTTGAATCATCAATGATGAATTGAATTCAAAGAATGAAAATCATCAAGTTGATTTTGAAACATGACTGGTATTAAAAAGAGTATTTCTCAAGCTTATACAAACAGATTGTTGGTTCGCTTTCTGATATATTTTGTTAATTGCTGTATTTTTATTTTTTCGTCTTAAAGGAAAAACTATATAAGACTTTTCAAAACCACCTTAAAATACATTTTAAATTTCGGAAATTAAACGCAATGCAACAATGTTGTCGGCCTAAAATTTCAATTGGGTCACCCCCCGTCGACTGACATAATTTTAAAGAGATAAAGTTCTTTGTTCAACGATCTAAGAAAAAGCAAACTTAGATGATCGGTGCACAATTTGGAAGGGGGAAATGTCACATTTTAAAATAAATATGAATTAATTAGTACAAATGTAATTAATTGTCGAAAATAGCCGCTGTTATCCATCAGCCAAGAGTAAGAAGTAAAAAAAAAATGCGATAACTTTGTTTACAGTATTCTGATTCCGTCCTACAGGACTTACATACTATTAATGTGGAATTTTGTAAATAACCGTTTTCTAATGACTCCATAGCAAAATGTCTACAGAAGTCAGATCTGGACACCTTGCAGTATAATTTATTGTACCCCTTCCACTAGTCTATTTTCCAGGATTCCGCTGATTCAAGCACTCTCTAAATGGTCAGGCAAAATGTTTATTTTTGTTTATATGATTATCCAAAGATTGTATTATAAGTCGCTGTATCGCATTTTGTAGAGGATGTAGATAAGGCTGTCAGGCATATTCTCAATGCTGCGTAAATTCAAATGTGGCCAGAATTTCTGGGACACAAAATTATAAGGTGGTTTTAACTACTAATATAAAATAAAGGAGCAAAAAAGATGATGTTGCTCATGTAGTAATCTAAAAAATACAAGTTTTTAAACCAAAATTTACTAGAATAAAAGTAATGATCATATTATACAGGATAAAATAATTGATTTTTGCTGCTTGAAATGTTCAAATGTTACTGCTTTTAATTATTTACGACAATAATTTCATATATTCAAATCTAATGTTGCCCGAAAAATTGCTATTGATGAAACACCCCTTTTTTAATTAAAGTACAATTCACGATCATGATATGTGACGTATTTTGTATTAACTTAACTTAAAACTAATAATATAATTTTAGTATCTACAACTGTAACTGAAAGCATTAAGTAAATGCACCAATTAAAGTAAATGCGTCAATTAGAATGTTGTTAGTCTTTATACAAAATGAACAAAATTTTCCAATTCTACAATTATTTTAACCACATTAGTTTTCCGAAAAACGGTACGAACAGTGCAAACCATAAACTCTTATCAAAAACATCTTATCTTTATTTTCAATTGTAGATGTAAGTGATGAGCCATTTTAAAAATTTCATAAAGCATTTAAGACCCTTGTATTTGAAATTGTCATCTGCAACAAAAGTATCAATATTAAATTGACTGGCCTTAAAAGGAATTTGTTGATTTTGTAATAATTTTTTTGTTAATTTTTGAATTATATTTAAATAATCTATCACTGAAGTAAATAAAAATTAGCTGAGACATTGGACCTTATTTTGCTTAGTTTGATTTCCTAGATATATCCTGGAAATATTTCTATTTCTTCTTGAACGAATAGTAATAATTAATAATAATAAAACATGAAATAGCACATTTAAATATGAATACAAAATCAAAAAAAAATAAATTTACCGAAGCAATATAGTTCATGGCATAGATTAAAAACTTGATATTCTGAACAATTCTAAATATTTCTCGTAAAAACCACCTTAATTACAAAAAATAGTAATTAACTGTTATATTACATATGAAAACGTGCTTTCTCCTCAATCAGGTTTCTATCCTAAAATTCGAATAATTATTAAATTAATTAGACATCAATCAGTTCAACTTCCTCCCGATTATACACTAAGACATTGCTGATGATACATTTATTATAGTGCAGCAATAAAGAATGTTTCATCATTTGTTTTCAATTGTGGCTTTTATGGAGAAAAAATTATAGCTTCGTTGTTACAAGATCTCGAATAATTAAACAATTTCAAGATTACAACTCATTAGATCATAATGGTATAATACAAAACTTCAATTAAGGTTAAAATATATTTTAAACTTTTTCATTCTTTGGCAGTGCGAGGGCCAATATTACGCAGCACGTTTAAAAATATCATTAAAATCTATTTTCAATACCATTAACCAACTAGTTAAACGTTGTGATGCAATAGCTGAGTTTCTATAATTCTATTGTCTTATTAGGTACTCTATATCAATTAATTACACGTACATTCGTTGCTAATATATGAATCTATTAATAGTGAAATCAGAAGGTCGCATAAGGTGCCAGAATGTTTTGCATAATTAATAAGTAGGATACAAGTGTGATGATAACGCATTGAACCGATAATTGGAGACCGAGCAGAATTTAAAATGTTGAAAGAAAATCATCAATTCTTGCATCACATTATTTCTGCAAATGCTCAGGTAATTTTGCCTTACATTAGATAACAAGGAAATCCAAGCTATGATAACATGTATTTTCTGTAGCAATTACAGCATTGACATTTTCCTGAACAGCTGAAAGTCGTTACGGCTGCATCTAATTGCTCTAGAAAAATTTGAATATTCGTAACAAGTTTTGGCCATTGTTACGTAGGAAAGCAAGAAAGCACTTATTGTTTGACTAAATGAATAAAAGCCATTATGGTCCTAATTAGGATTCTTATCATGTCAGCCAAATGGAAAAAGGAAAAGTGTCTTGAATTCTTCAACGGTAGTTAATTGGGCCAGGGCTTTTAAAGACTCAGAAATTGAGAATATTAATGTTTACTTTATTATATATATTATTTCTTGCCTATGTTTTACTGCTTTCATATTTCATTATTTCGTAAGGACACAACTGCATTAGCTTCGACTTTCAGTTATTCATTAGCAAATACCTGCCAAATGCTTCTCATAATAGTAAATATTTATGTCAAATGAAATAGAGAATTGAATGACATACAGAAAGTGAATATACACAAAGTACGTTCTCATCAGTTTGTTTAACATTATGCAATTTCCTTTTAACATCATTAATATGCATTTCATTAAATCCATTTTTTCTGAGCGCTTGTGACGCGAAATAGTCGCTGAAAATTACAAAACGCACCCACTTAATAGTATTTTGATGATACTTAATGATTCTGGTCATTTACTAATAAAGCAATCGCTTTTCAGTGATGCGATTGGTCAATGTAGGTCATACGAACTGCGAGCAAAATTGGGGATTTGGGTGATTATTTAGAACTAATAAGAAAAATATTATATATGCGTTTTAGTCGTGTTTTTACCCTCCTCAAATGATTGGTTTATTGTTCGCGTTAGACGATTGACAGTTCTTTCTTCCCATGTTTAGAATTTTCTTTAAAAGACAGAATTCAGACTTCACGATTTATTTCAAATATTAATAATGAAATATTATCACTGTCTAATATTTGACAAAAATATTCAAAGAGTTTAAAATTGTCTGAACTATGCCTTTAAAAGTGTATTCTAATCGTGGAGAGAACTGCTAATCGTCTAACGCCAACAATAAACCAATCACTAAAAACCAAAAGCCAAATAGCGAGCCCTTAAATTTAAACTCGTCAACCGAAATTTGCTAATCACTAATATAAAATAAACGTACAAGAAAAATGCCGTTACGAATGAAATAATCAAGACACTAATTAAATAAGCCTTAAAGTGTTTGAATATAAGAAGATGTTGAGAGCATACTTTCTTTACACTTCACGTTTTACAATAAATATTGCTTTTCTGTTCTTAGCATGGTTAGAAAACCTCGGAAACACTATTTTTTTAACTGTTAACCACTTACACTGAAGGATTTATGCAGTTTAAAATTGTCAAAAAGACAAAAACAGAGTAATTCAATTTAAAACCGTCAAGAAAAAAAGAAAAAAATTGATAATTCCTAACATAAATTAAACGATAAAATAATCCAGACAAATATTAAACAAGGCATAAATTACTTAAATATAAGAAGTAATGCTTAGAAACATAAGTTTAAAGTCCCATTTTATATTTCACAGTTCACTTTAAATCGTTTATTTGATATGTGCCTTTATTTATCTCTATTTTTCAACAATTAGTCATTAGCACACAAAGAAGAAGCAACAGGATAAGGAAGTGAAAACTTACTATAATGACTTTTTACTTGGTTTACTTGTGTAAATTTACCTTGCATAAAACCCTAATTATATATCCATTATATTTGTTTAATTCTTTGGTAGGTAGTAAGAACATTCAAAAGCCAATTTGGTCTGAATAAACGTATACAGGTCAATACATATATACAATTTTTGAACGAAGCTGAATATTTTCTATATCTTTAAATATTTACTAACTGATGGAAATAGAAATAAAATCATAATTATCGGTTTGCTGTGAATTAATAACTCGAAAAGTGCTGACATTATGAAGAAACACACTAAATTAATGAAGTATTTAAGGCACAAAAAAAATCACAGCGACAGCCGTTATTTTCCGTTGATGTTTTTGTTGTTTAATTGAATAAAAATGTTTTAAATTTTAGTGTAACCATCTAGATAATTTCAGAACTTCTAGAAAATAATGCTAATTTAAATTTCTATGTACAACCAAAAAATGCGTAACAATGAACAACCTAAATTTAAATGTACTCACTTTAAATTTTATTTTCAGTAATACTCTGATGTTGACGACATTGTTTTTTGTACTGTTTTGCTGAAAGATTAATTAAAACTGTTTCGAGCCAAGGCCTTCACTATAAATCGTCTTATAAATTTAGATCTTGTACAATACTTAGAAGAGTCTTTTAAATTCAATGTGATTTTTTGACCCATTTTGTATACATTTGCCTGAGATTTCAGATTGTTTAAGAGTCTAGACGGATTGAATTATTTGCAAATTAGGCTTATCATTTACATGCATGCGATAATTAAGGAATTGGTGACTTCGAACTGTATTTAATGTAAAACGGGATCCTGCTAATAACACTTAATGAGTGTGTATACGGAAAGAATATTAACAAATAATATGAGAACCACGAATCCATACGGGAGTGTATTGGCATTATGCCAGCTTAGAAGAAGCCCTAATAGGGACAGTTAGTACTAATACAATTTAAAACTGGCAAATTATAAAATAAATACTCTACTATTGAAAGTGATTTTTTACACTATGTTGTTGTGCAGTTACGTAAAATGGAGATAATGATCTAAAATGAAGAACCAGCAGAGCTATTTAAAAAATTTTCCCGGCAGAAATTGCCACCAATAAAATTCGACCTACCACTAAAATCCTCATTGCTAGCACTTGAATCACCACCACTGTTGAGTTAACTAAACTACCCAAAAATCACCGTTTCTTGCTTTATATACTAGTTATTAAATGGGGGTTGTTGGGGGGGACCTATTGGGTAATGTGAGATATGATATCAAGAAAAGGCACCAGTACTCCCACCTTTAGTGTAGGAAATATTGGCGCCATCCGCAGAAAGTGAAGAACTACCGCTTGATGGGTCTTCTTTAAAGAGACTAGGTCATTCGCATAAGTCGGTAACCTCAGAGAAAGAAACTGAAAGCATTCGCAAAATATTATAGGCTTATTGATAAGCTGTTAGGCCATATAGCATATGTGTAGGTAAAAGAATGAAAGAAAAACTCAGAGTTTTATAAACGAGTTCAGAAAACTTTTGCAATGTGTACTATTTGCATTAATATAAATGTCTGATTTCGTTCATTACAATGTATTGAGCGTTTTTTCACTTAATATATTTTTCTTGAATATCATTTTAATGTTCTTCCTGACTTATCGAGGCATGTGACCAATTTACATTGAGAAATTAGGACACCGTTGGCAAAAAGTAATTACTGATAGAATCTTCGAATGACAAAATTACTCGAGATTCTACTAATTATATCCCAGTTGAGTAAGAATCCGACTAAAGATGTTCTTTGTCATGGCTTTGTTTTCTTCTTATATAACTTAAGTATTAACTAATTCCCAAATGAGCAATAAAATTTGTTAGGTCGGCTACACAATACACATTGTCAGTATAGTAATGTCTTCTGATTTTTTTGTTTTACTATTTTGTTTAAATGAGTTCAAAATTAAAACTTTTTAAAGTTTTTTTAAACTTTTAAAGGTACATTTTAATATTGATTTATTTAGTGCAGCGATTTATTAGTCTGAAACCCATGAAATACTGCAGTCAATTTTAAAACTTGTAACACTGCGTTATGAGAAAAGAATTTGTTCAACAATAGTAGAATAGTAGAAGGCGAGGTTCCTACGGATGACCTACACCTACAATATAGCCGGATTTATCTACATTTTTGTTTTCTCGGAAAAATAACTTAAATAGGAAACGCATGCCACTTAACCTGAAGACTTGAATGAAGACTTTTAATATGCCTTTAGGGTTTCAAATTCTATTATATTATTTATTAAGTTTTAAAACCGATATTGTATCTACAGAGAATTTAGTGCGTTTCTAAAAGCTTCATAATTGCGACATATTTGAGAAATTTGATAATGATTCCACTACCGATAACGTGTTGAAGCTACAGTCACAGCATAATATTTATGCTGTACTACAGCTTTGAAAAAAATTGATAAACATGTCTCTTTGCTCTCTCTGACTCCATAGAGTCTAAGCGTTTACTTCTTACTTTTCCGAAGAATATTGAAACCTTTCTTGTGTACTTTTCAGTAGCCCACCCGGTATAACATTTTCTTTGGAAATTCCTAATTTTTTTAAGCATATGTATCTTTTTTTCACGGATCTTCATTGATCTTAGATATAGCAAACCCTAACGAAGTTGCTGGTCGACTTAATACTGAACAGTTTTCTTTAATTTATAAATGAAAATTTGGAAACGCAAATTTCTTTTTTAGTAAAAGAAAACATTAGTAAACTTGACTGTTTAGTAAGAAAAAAATACAAAGTGAAATACTGACCCTAATTAAAATTATGATAGAAGAACAGAAAATACCATACGAATGAAAGAACAGTATAACAATACCCATTTTTAAAAAGAGACGAAGTGCACTCCCAAAAAACTATCGTGGAATTACCCTACTTGATGACGCTCTTACACGCATTTACAAAGACTATTCTGGGGGAAATCACCAAAACCATAAGAATAAGAGAAGAACGACAGAACTTCGGACTGTCGAAAAAACAGATCCACAATAGATGCAATATTCATAGTCAAGCAAATGTCTACAAAATCCCTAGAATTCAATAAACAAGTGTGTGCAATAAACAAGCAATAGCCTACCAATATGTGTCCATATTAGAAAGAAAGAAGAAGAAGAATAAGAACCTTTTTGTACGCCAGTTTAAAGTCCGTCGCAAAATATTTGATCATCTGGACAACATGAGTAGCAATGCAATACAAAAACGTAATAAGTTTTGTTATTTTAGCTTTGTCTCTTAATGTTTATTATTATTGCTTGTATTTAGAGCAAAATTGGGAATGTGTGCATCACCTTTTGCTTACTATTATGTATGTACAATTTGTGCACTATATAGACATTAAAGTCACAAATTTCGCATTAAAGTTTAATAATTTTTTTTGTATATGTATGTAGATGCACCATTTCATTGGCAAAACAGATTTTTTTTTCATTTTTGAAAAGCCTAATTAATTGAACTGAGCTTAAATCTCATCAGAAACTTTCGATTTTATAGAGCGCTTTCAATCGTGCATCTTGCTTCGGACTAAGGAGATTTTGTTATAATTTTTTATATTATGTATGTGTTATTATAAAATATGTATCTTCGGCTTAAGAAAATAGCTAATAAGAACGTAAGAATAATAATAAGATTTCAGAAAATAAATTTGTTACAGTTGAATTTCTAGTAGTATCTGTCTTATTGAGTCATCCCACGGATTTTTGATCGGTTTTGTTAAGTTGAGATAAAAATGGGATCATATTGGGACGGTCCTACTCATTAATGACCCATTTTGAACAGAAAGAAGTATCAAGGTAGCTCCTATAGACTCAGCTTTAGTAATATGGACATCAGATTCTAATCCGATGAGGATTAGAATCCCAGAATAAATGCCCAGGGCGATGCTAAACGTAAATATGTATGGGAAAATACGTAGAAGCCATCATATTTAAACACAGTTTTTATTAACAAAACCACACACTGTGGGTTTCTTCTACATTATTTGCTTAGATATTCGACTAAAATTCAGAAAATTCCTTTTGAGAAAAATGCCCGAATACGTTTTATTTACTTATTTATTTTCTTCGTCGTAGTCGTAGACATTTAGCTACTGTTATGGTGTGTAACGCGTGTTTTACCATTAAAAAAATTGAATATACAAGTTGGATACAACAAAAAAAATTGAAACACATCGAAATTGAAATTTTCGATTTTACATAAATATTCGATCACTTTTCATGAAAAATAACCCGGCTCATATCAATTGTATCTCATCATTGAGCATGAAGATTGTATGAAAAAATATTCGTCCTCGGTACAGTTTGAATTAGATTTTTGTCATCGTCGGAAACTTTTACCTGCGTACAAAATGTACAGTTAAATGTTTTTTCCAAATATTGTGTGGATAAAATTTTTTGGAAGAAAATTTTTTCAAATTAATCGATTTTAACCCTTACTTTATTGACACATTGGATACTTAACAAAAATGTAGAAGAGATATAATTTATATATTTTTTTACAAACTGCTTGTTGGGTATTTTGCCTCAAAAATTTTGTCTTTAAAAAAGACGGAATTTCCTCACGTCTTTTATTACAAATTGATAAATATTGCTCTTAATTCGCAATCAGAACGGATTATTTATCAAAAAGTAATCATGAACTATCACCTACAGGGTATCTTGCGACACACTTAAGCTCAAGCTGTAAGAGAAAATTCCAAAAAGTAAAAAAATTTATTTGAAAAATTACTTTGACGTTTCGACAGCTATTTTCTGCTATCGTTATCAAAAAACTTAAATAAAATAAAAAAAATAAAATAAAAACGAACCTTGGCTGACATGCCAAACACATATTTTATGTTCAACGAAGATGTACTATTATAGCATGTCACAATCTAGAAGAATGGAGCAGCTCGTTTTTTGCCTATGGATGTCAAGTTGATCCCTGGCTACAGCATAGAGCAAAATTTAAATAATATAAATTGAATTATAAGGAATCTGTATTGAAATGAACTTTTCTGTAATCCAAATCATACATTCAAAATATGTTGATGAGCTTTCGATCCTCGACCATTGGAAAAACTAAAGCATGCTGTCAACGTTTCGTGAATCGAAGTCTCGAGTGATATTCAATTGGTGATATAGTCGATTTTAAAAAAATTGTAAATATTTTTATTGCGATATTTTTTTCAGTTTTTATTTAAACCCATGATATTATCATTAATACTATTTTTACATTTTCTGACTTGCAAGGGACGGACCATCGGGCGGAGTATTGTACAAGGTTTTCGGGATACCTTGTATGATCTTACCTTCTACCATTTGTGGTTTCTTCTTCACCATTTTGCAAGTTTAAAAACAGCATTAACCCTTCTGTGGAATACTTAATTTTATTATAATTCTCAACTATTATTCACTGCTTTAAGAAAAAATAGCCAAAAAATATATCTACAGTTAGATAACTAAATGTTATCCTTGATATTTTCTTTGTTTGCTAATTGAAGACAATACCCATCGTTTTCTTTGGATAGTGTAAAAGAGCAATAGCTGCAGTTGCAACAACCATAACTATTTGGTTATTGCGAAACACATAGCATAATGAGAAAACAAAATTGCTTAATGCCTATGTTTTAAATTAGCATAAAATATCGAATTCCTTAAACAAGCATGCAATAATACTGACCTTCAACGAAACTAACCGAATATAACCCAATAAACAAATTTAAGAAATTTGGCAAATATTTTAGCTAGTTGAGCTAATGTGAATCTGTTTTTATGTTATATGTGTATAAAATTACGCAAATTTCATTCTTTTAATGTGGGTTGGTTAAGGAGATAACTGAATTAATATTTATACGATCCATAGTGAACAAAATATTASCTACTTTTTTGGAAAAGTCTGTATTTYGCATTCCATATATAAATAGTGCTGTTGTAATTCAGAGCGTCTCATACTCATTCTTCAACAACCTAAAAGTGAAGGTTTTTAAAACATCAACTTGCATATAATCAAGACCATGACTAGATTTATCATATTAATTTATTGAATTTCAGTTTTTAATTTGGTGATATAATTTGTTAAAGATAAAAAAGAATCGATATTCTGTCTGTAAATGATCTGACTGAACCTGCATTACATAATTTGTAAATGGCATCGGAAAAGGACTGGCGCCGGCACCGACACATTTTTCTGGTTTGTTAGGTTAACATAT